ACATACATACATACATACATACATACATACATACATACATACATACATACATACATACATACATACATACATACATACATACATACATACATACATACATACATACATACATACATACATACATACATACATACATACATACATACATACATACATACATACATACATACATACATACATACATACATACATACATACATACATACATACATACATACATACATACATACATACATACATACATACATACATACATACATACATACATACATACATACATACATACATACATACATACATACATACATACATACATACATACATACATACATACATACATACATACATACATACATACATACATACATACATACATACATACATACATACATACATACATACATACATACATACATACATACATACATACATACATACATACATACATACATACATACATACATACATACATACATACATACATAGTAGGTACGTTCATACACACACACGCACACACACACACGCACACACACACACACACGATTATACATGCAAACAGACTCTTACACAGGCACCCATCAGATCATCCATCCATCTATATATTCATTCATCTGTCTTTCGTCCATCTACTACTCATCAAATATTCATGATGTTCTATTCTACATTGTGTGAAATGTTACATTGAAAATGTTCTTTTATATTTTATTATGTTTTTGCGTTCATATACCCATCTATACTCAAATACAAAAACTTGTATGCCTGGTAAAGCTACGAATGTGTTAGTTAGCATCTACAACGTATTGTCGCAAATGCTAGCAACGTTGTTGTTGCCAACATGTGGAAGTAGTTAAATACATGCAGTTGAATTATTTTAATAATCTTCAACGCATTGGTTCCCATCATCATTGTTATTATCTCAGGAACGTTGAACTGCAGACAAAATTATTGTTAACATTTTCTTTATTGCAGACACTCCGGCGCCATACTCCAGCGCAAACATTCATCATCATCTGATCTCTCTGTGGACAGCCTGGAGGACAAAACCAACGACAGCTCGGATATCCTACCTACCTGCTCGTTGGCCGCTAAGTTAAGAGGTTAGCTGGCATATTAATTATCACGTTAATTAATTCGAAAGTTTTTTCAATAAAATTTATGGTGCAAATAACAAGCCCGAGCTTTCTACCGAGACACTTATCAACTTCCTACACAGCCATTTAACACAACGTTTTGCAAAGCATTTTTAACTTAAGGCAAGTCTAATTTTTATATTAATGCAAAAGTTTCAATTCTCAAAATATTTTGTTAAGCACATAACTGCACGACTGATATAAAAAAAATGGACTAACTGAATTGGGGTTTTTGCACTAGACGTTGTTTTGTGTATTCCTATCGACCTTCCAACATGCATGTAGTTCTATCCTGTTGCATGCATGGGTTGACAAGATATCCATTTAATTAGATAATTAATAAATAAATAGATTAATAAATTAATTTATTATTACTACTATTATTTATTCTTTTAATTTGAGAGATATAATATTTTGGAGGCATAGGAATAACTGTTTTGTTGGGTTATGTTATGTCATGTTATGTAATTTTTTCAAGACAATGCCACAGTTTTAGTTCAAAATATAAAATTCGGTATAAAAATATTTTATTTGATCTCACTATGAAATTTGAAGTAAGGGTCTGACAGTTGATTTTTGGTTAAATGGTTTAAATGATGTTATACATTAGATATATTACACAATAACAGAAAGTTGCAAGTTAATGCATTTGCTAATTTTTACTTTTAATAATGACGTTAGTTATTTTATAAAAAACAAAATTAAAATCGTCCTACCTATTTAAAATCGTTTAAAAACATCAATTCTACATGAGAATTTTTTTTAACTTTCTTGCGTTTCCTGTAAGAACTGCGTTGTATTGTTTTCTACAAAACTTAGTATGGAATATTAGTTAATACGGTACGTTACCACTAATACAGGCGGCTCTTTCCGCATATCAAAACCGAAACAACCTGACGAAACGCCACCGACACCGCCGTCAAACTCCAAAGAACCCCGCCCTTTGTTGCCTTTGTTTAAAAATCCTCTGCCCGTCTTCGGCAGCTTTCTTCGGCGAGATCGGCGTACAAACAACGAACCCACCAAGGTACTGTCGGAGAATCACTCGCCTTCAAAAAAAGTCCGTATCTGTTAGATTATTGTTATTATTAATTTTATTCTTCTTTTTCCTATTATTATTGATTCAAATTTAGATAGCTTATATTTACGATCTCAAAAAGGCTTCGATAGCATTCGAACTGAGTCAGCGTGCGTTAATTACAAGGCGAAAATGTTACCCAATTTGCCACTTCTGAAACTTTCTGCTTAGGTTATTAACGGTGTTTTTTGTGGTGCAGTTAATACGTTGAAAGTAATTGCACGGGTGAATTTATAAATTTCAAATTTAGAATAATTGGTATTGGCGTCAATTCATTTCATGTGCATCTGACAATGAACCTCACGTACACTTCACCATCAATGCACTCGATGTATTTAGTAAAACATTAACCACCCTGTAATGTGACATCCAACCTTTTTGTGCTGACTGGAATTGCAATTAAATTGCGACACAGTCAAACGCTAACATGCTGATATTAAATAACACGTAAACAATTGACAACAGAAACCCGAAGTGAAAAGCGGCCAGACGGAGTCTGCATTGAGATCATCGTGGAGACACGGCATAGCTCATTGGTTGCACTTAACAAGAACATCTAACCTCATAACAAATAGCAACAGCGTTAACAACAACAGCAATAAAAACAACAACAACAGCAACAGCAGGGCGGCAAAACATCATCAAGTCCGGATGCACCAGGTAGGACTAATTTTCGCATGTATGAAGTTTAATTTATTTTATAAACAGTGCGTTTTTAAGCTGTCGGTTCTGTTATTTGTTGTTGTGTGCTAACATTTAACTAAGACACATGGCAGTATTCATCAAAATAATGCTTTCATTGGTTTTCTGTTCATCCATACATGGCTTAAATTATTCTAAATTCATACTATCTACGTTACAATTTACTGTAATATGTAGTCTTTACAAATATGATTACAGTTGTTATAATACTGCAATGTGTTTATTGATTTCGCAAGGGACGCATTCCAACAAACACACACACCATGCATCACTTAATGATGTTCCGATCAGAACCTCAGCAGAAACATACACGATACAATTTGATTGACAGGTGAACTCGAACAACACCGCCCCCATGTGCATCACCCTCATAAGCAATCATGGTAGAAAAAGTAGTCTTACAATAACAAACAATATCATCACCAAGACTTCTCCCGGTTTTTATGGGAAGCTGAATGAAAAATCATTCGAACGAATACCGATCGTACAAAAGCAATCGGACCACTTCAGACAGCAGCAGCAGTCGTTATATCAGCAACCACAAATGCAACACAATAGTTAGAACAGTTTTTAAATAGCATGTCGACTCAAATTTTTACTGAAATTTTAATAAATCCTTTACCTGAATTGTTTACAGTTAGATATTATAATATCATAATAAGCCAAACTTTACTGAACAAACAGCTAATCAAAATGATTAAAAAATAATTTGTCCCCTAAATCAGGTAAATTATTGAGCATCACTCATGATTTAATAGAGGCAGCTGAATCTCTCGTTTCAACGACGGCAACCACAACAACTTCAACGACGACATTATTTTACAACATTCCATCAACACTATCAACAATAAACAACACAACATCAACAACAACAACAACCACAACACCGCAAAATTGCAGACTAAACAACAACAATGACGATAACAACAACGGCAACAACAACTACAGCAACAGCAGAGAATGTTCTATGAGGCGGTTGGAACTGAGCAGACGAGCAACTGGATGGGAGGAATGTCCGAAATGCATGGACGCCAATCATTCCTCTGATGAGGTAACATCTCCCTTTTAAATAAATCACCTACCTGTAGTCGTCCTGCTTTATATTCTTCAAAATCTAATCTTGTATCGCAACAATTTTATAGGTAAATAATTTTTGTATGCTATATTCCAAAATCGATACAGGTATGTGTAGAGGATCACACCTGTACCTCCAAACAAATAGATTCTATTTTCACAATAAACAAGACAGAAATGAGCAAATTTTTTTGTTGATGAACGTGTAGTTCCATAGTTCCAATTGTTTTTTCCTGGAAATTATCTTTCCTATATTTGTGGAAGGTTTGCAATGAAACATTGCTGATTGGACAGGAGACATTGGAGAAGAGTTTTGTACGCGTGAAATAAATTATAACGAGGTACATGCACGAATGATACATGCATGCAATTATTTTCTATTGTTGAATTGCGTTAATGCAATTCTCTCGGCACTATTATCTGATCAGATGCCTTCATTAAAACATTTCGTTAACAATTTTTTTTTCACATACCTAATTTCTTAAAGAAAGTTTATCGTAGACGGACGATCAGCTGATGTTGGAAACAAGTTAAAGAAAACACTTGTGCAAGTTGTTTCCATTTGCAATAAAACCAAAACCGATCACAATATTAAAAACGTAATGAACTTTCTAAGACAATCTCAAAAAATAAAAGTAAAATTTATTTGAAACCGCCTAAATTTATTTAAAAAAGTATTATTAGAACATTTTAAATCAGGACCATATTAGAATTTTAAAAAAAGAAGAAATTTCAGTTTTATAAATATAAAAAAAATTTTATTTCATGGAAAACAGCTCAAAATAATTTAATTGACTTGAAAAATGAACATGTTTGTCTTATAAAATTGTTAAGCCGACAAAACTATACGTAATTTTTCTTACAAAGCTATTATCAAAAATTTATAATTTCATAATTTTTTCTTTGCAAACTCTGTCAACACTAACAACACATTAACATTTCCAAACCCTGCAGAGTCCAATGCTGGCGACGATGGACAACTGCACAAGTCTGGCTTCCACGTTGGGCTCGTCAATACCATGCCTCCTGGCCAACAACATCACTTCAGCAGAGAGTTGGCCGGCATCGTAGAAAGGAGGAATGCGTGCAAGTTGATGAGGATGATTGAAGTAAAAATTTCGAATGAAAATCGGCTGTTCAATTTGAAGCCTTCAATTTTCAGCAAAATCCGGATCTACGAAATTGCGTTCCGTAAATAAAAACTTGTAACAAAACGCAAATTTTTTTATTACAGTACAAAAATTTATTGTTTGCGTGTTATAAACTTCAATTGTGCAGATCAAGTTGCAAATTAGTCTGAGGATGATAAGGTTGCAAAAACATATCAGTTATTAATTTCAATAATTAATTTTGAAAGTTTATTGGTCGTTTCAGAATTTCATTTTATTTATGAGGCAACTATCATGCTGAAAGATTTTTAATTATTTGCGAGTAAACATGTCCAGCGACGAAACCTGGCTGATGAATGATAGATAATTTGATGGCAACACAGAATCAACATTGACGTTGCATACAAATGACAAACACGCATACACGTAACAAATAAAGATTACAAAACAACACACGATGTAATTGTTGTTTCGAACCACCCAACCAATCATTTCTCGACTTGGTCGACATTCAAATGCCTTAACAACGGCTGCACACTGGAGACATCGGAAAGATGATTGAAAAGAAAAACATTAGGCCATAATTTTTATGAACATATTGCATTCCATTGTTTTTAATGTTAAAATGTCACCTGAAACAAAAAGTTCCAACCAAAAAGATTGTTTCTATTTCTTTCTTAATTTTTTTATAAATTTCTTATTAATATATATATATATATATATATATATATATATATATATATATAATGTGCGTGGTTTTTGTTTATGTTAACAAATTTTAATCAGCTGTGTTGATAACCTTTTGATGAATAATTTTTAACTTTTGCAATTTTTTAGAAGTACTAATAGAGAGTAATAAAGGTTTTCTTTCTTATTTGTTTAATGAGAAGTCGTTAAGAAGCAGACGGACAGATTGATTTTGAAGTGATAAATTTCTTGCTCATTGTGTTTTTATTAGTGTCAACCACCCACCCCACCCATGCACGTTCTCGTTCATTGCGCACCACCAGACAGACGCATCTCCACACATGTACATAATATAATATTTGCAAGCAAGCACACGAGATGAACACAGGACACATGAATTCATCATGTGGATAATAATCCTCACCTGGTGTAAAGTTTTTCTAATTTTTTAAAATTATTCTTTTTCATTTAAAAAAATATTCGTTATTATTCCTTTTTTCAAACATTTTTCAAACGTTGCAACAAAATTTTATACTCTAGGCTAGTTGTTTTAAGATGGCGCAAAATAAGCTCACCGTGCGTGAATTTCTGATTTAAAATTCTTCATTTCAATATTATCACAAGAGAGGTGTCCAAACTACCAAGCATTTTTTTGAACGTTGTCACTCATTTGTCGTTGCAATTCAAATATTTCGATCAATCCACCATCGTGTAAGCGCTGATGGAAAAATTGAACTTTTGAATTAATTAAACGAACAATCGTTTGATTAACTAACTACTTAACGGACTCAATCAATTTTGTCTGCGGTTTCTCATTTTGATAATTTAAATTTCTATTAGACATTTGTTAATGGATCTAAAGCATAGTCCGTCCTAACGTGCAATTAACATGAATTATTTGCCGTTTTATGTTCCTTCAAGAGACAATCCCAAGAGTTTCATTAGTTTTCGATCAGTTAAACATTTCTTAGATTATTTCCATTATTTTACGCTAGTTTATTTGTTAATTTATCAATCGACCAATGGGGAATACATGATTTGTATTGTAATGACGTTACATGAACAATGTTGTAATATGTATATTAGGCACTTCTTTAGTTCTTATCATCTAATTTGTTGTTTCGTTTTTATTCTGTGATATTTAACACATTACAATATTAATGAATTTTTAAATTTGTTTGTGATTTTTATATAATTTTCATTTTCTTTATTTCACCCTTTCGGAAGGCTGTTGAAACCATGTGGCAAAAAATGATGCTGGTTTGTAAAAAATTGATGGCTCTACTTGAAAAACGGAAAAATAAATAAGGAATATATGCTTGATTAAACAGTAACGAAATTAATATTATGCTTTCAATGCAATTCAAACTGAACATCATTCGACACTGCATTAAACCAAAATAAACCTGCCAAATTATAGAATTATTTGAATTATAAAGGGTTATTTATAATGGAACATATTTAGAAGTGAATTTGTTATTAGATTCATTGTTTTGTTGCATATTTAATTTTGTTTGATGTTCGTATTTAACATCTTTATCAATCATCGGTGTATATTAAAAGTCGTCAAGCTGAACCTTCGTTTGCACACAATCGTAGTTCCTTTCAAGCGATTAACCTACCTACCAAATTATTACGCAACAATTTTTTGGCGAAACGCCTCACCGTTACGAGGCTCATTTAAAATTTAATAAGAATCCATCCGATTTTGGCACATTTCATCATTCGAATCGAACATTCGAAAAGAAAATTATTCTATACAAAACCTTAAGCAACGTTCCAATTCACATTTATTATTATTATTTAAAATTTATTTGAAAGAATTGGTAACAACTTGAAAAAACGCTCGCAGTCACCGTGACAAATAATAAATTTATTCAATTAGCTTGAAAGCGTCAGGAAGTAACAATAGAAAGAAGATGCACAGGTGGAAGTCGCTTTCGTTCCGATCGATTCAGAAGACGAAGTCAAGATCCATACGCACACGCTAAAAGCGAAGACCATCTCCTGAACTAAAAAAAAAAAAACTGAAGAACGATAACTTCTGTGCATCGATATATTAAAACGTGGATGGCAAATACGAGAATGAAGCGTTTAGTTGTCTTAATGTCCATGTGTATCGACGTCAAATGAATAAAAACGATATGTAATTGTAATAAATTATTTAATATCACTATTTTATAAGAAACCATTAACCATTACTCAACTGAGTCATCAAAACCAAACCAAATCCATGCAGGTCATCCTATAACACTTTAAGCAGTATTCCAATTTAGAAAAATAAATCTTCAAATTGCGATACAAATAACCTAGCAAATATACAGCAATCTACTCCAAATAAGTACAAACGTTATAACGCTAATGAATTAAGATAGTTAAAATAATATGACGCAGAATTCTCCAAATTTATTTCTATCCGTGTTGCCTTTTCTATTGTGAACTTAACTGGAGAACATAGGAAACAAATTTAATTAAATTGAGTAGCACTGACATAACAACGACCCATTCGTTACAATTGGTGCCTGGAACATCAAAACATACATGCAACATGACGGAGCAAACGTTCCCAGTTATTATTACTATTAATATTATTCAACATTCAGGTCAATTCCTAAATTCAAGCCAATGTTCCCATTCCCACATCCATAAAATACGCAACTTGTGTTACTAACGAATGAAGCTGCGTGTCCACTGATAGGACTTGAATTAATTAACAAATTCCGACCAATGTCGTATTACATTTTTTATCGTATCAAAAAAGTTAATGTGTGCAAATAAGCGCAAATTCACGAGTCAATTTAATTAAACGTTCTGTACATCTAGATTTAAAAACAAATTCAAACATTAAACAAGCTGCTTTTTTCATAATAACGGTAAAATGACGCCTATAAAACAATAAAATTGGAAATCGCTACAGTATATGCAGGCGTGCATGCACTGAATTCAGTTCAAATATATAAATTTGATAAAATAACACCAGTTGAGCTTTTTTGACTAAAATAAAACAGGGAATTCATTGTAAAAATCAGCTAATCGATTCTAATAATTTCAGATGTTCAAATGGTTAGTGCTAATGTTGTTGTTGGTTGTCGGTTTCGATAAAAACGATGGAGGAATATCTGTGAAAGCAAGAATCAAAAGCCTGAATTAAATTAACGTTTGCTACATCATCAGCAAAACTCTATGTTACTACTTAAGATCTTTGTACCAAAATAAATTATCAAACCATCAAACCTGCAGTGTAAGTATAGCCATGAGCAGCAAACGTTGCTTTTTTAGCAGCCTGAACGGCAGCCAGTTCAGCGGCACATAAGGACCTTTGTATGCCGGTGCGACCTCGAGGACGCGAGAGCACCGAGCCTTTCGGTCGGCCCCGCTTCTTTAAAGGAGGATTAACAGCTGGGGAATCAGAAAAATGTATCAAAATTCATTGCTCTTGAAAAAACAACAAAAATGAAATAATGTTGCGTAACATTAACAAAACAATATTAATTAAGAAACTTATTTAAGCCAAAAAAAACTGGCTAAATGTGTGACCACATCCAATTTTGAAAACATTTTCCTTCTTAAGAATTTCACTTGAATGTTAGATTTGCAATTATTTTGTAATCTATTTTCATTTTTACAGTGTTAAAATGCAACATCAGATCCAATCAACCAACTGCTAATACTGAAGTTATATATCATACAACAAACATATTTATTAAACACCTAACAACGACAATAAAACGTGATATTGAACGGATTGAATAACAAATATGAATGACGTGATGCATCAGAGAATTACTAACATGTGAGTGTAGTATAAGGTAACTGGTGAGGATCGTCGACAACCAACATTGTTGAGTCAGAGCTCTCTTCTTCAATGACACTTTCAGATTGTGGTATGTCAAAACTTGTGCACGAAATCTGTAAAACAAATTCAGTCAACGTAGGTTACAACTCCAATTCAAAACTTCGAAACCCAAAGTTCATCACCCTACTAAAAATCATTATTACAGCTCCTTTAATGAAAAATGCAAATCAATCCGGAAATAAGAAACGCAAATATTAATACGATTAATAAGGTTAAACCAAATGAAGTTTGATACTACTTGAGGCATTTAACAGTCAACTTCCTGATAGAAAGTCCATTATGAAAAGTCGCTACCACGTCATCACTCGGACAGAAAAACGAACAAAAGATGATTTTATAAGAGCAAGTAAATAAGAAAGGAATACAGTTAGATACAATACAAATTTATCAACAAAAACAATATCATTCTGCAATTTGAAGACAAAACCACTATGTCCGTTGGATTTATGGTAAGGTGGAAGTCATATGAAAGCAATTTTCAGCTGTTCCACAAATTTAACAACGTGAATAACTATTACATTATCAACTATCAAAAATCTCGTTAAGATGTATTCACCCCAAACTGAACCGAGATTTTCAAGGTATTTTTAAAATTTTAGAAGAGATTAACACTGAAGGTCCGCATGTTTAAGATCCGATACTGTTAAAACACACACAAACCAATGTATAAAAAGAGATATACGAATTTGGATAATTATAATAAAATGATTAAATAGCTAGGAAAGAAAGATAAAAATATATCAACTGTTGAAAAGTAAAAATTATAAAACTGGGTGAAAATAGCTGAGGTCCAAGTAAAGTGGAATAAAGAAAGATGACATTCAAATAAGCTGAAATTGAAGAGATACTGACTCTGACATACTAACTTGATTAACTGGTAAAAATGTTGAGAAAAAAAAGAACATAAGTGAAAGTAGATGAGCACGCTTCCACAGCACCGCCAAAAGATGATTGTAAAAAGTTGGTAGTATGGAAAAAACTGAAGTACCCATTAAAACGAACCTCGCTACGAGGACTTGCTGGCATGGAAACAAATGAACTGGCACTCATCATAGAGGTATCGTCCGTTAATTGTGGAGTTGCATTTGTCGATCTCGGTGCATGTGCCACTGAAATGTTAGCAGCCTTTTTAATTTTATTGGATTTAATTTTGTTGTCTCCTTCACCCTCCTTATCACTTCTGCCAACGACGGATACTTCGTTTGGGGGGATTATTTTCTTGGGCCTCCCTGGTCTGCCTCTCGTCCTTTTTTTCTGTTGCTGTAATGATTTGATAAGAAATATATATTGGACTCCATACAATGGGTATTGCTGGTTTTAACATCTACATCTTCAAATTTGACCAAAATCTAAAATTTAGCAGTATATCCCAAAGATTTAACATTTATTATTGTGTTATTGGTTGCTAGCTGCTATTATAAAAAATCTTAATATGAAATCACGTTTTAAAGAAGTGTTGGACATTTTTTAAGAGAATGAAAAAAAATAGACAATGCAAACTTGAAGACTGTTGATTGAAGAGTGCGAGGAATTGCTACTGCCTTCCTTCGTCATACCACCACACCTGGCTTCAGATTTTGAAGCAGCTAATGATCAGAATAACAATAATTTTGACTTTTTGAAAGAACACTAATCAACAAAAATTTTGTTTGATTGAATAAAAGTGATTTGATTTGATTTTTGAATAAAAATGCATTTTATTATGCTAATGTTTTGGTAGCCAGTCTTCTTAACAAAGTTATCAGTTTTAGAACGTTGCATGCATCTCATGATTAACAAGATGAAATAAACTAATTTCCACGGAATATTTCAACAACGATTTTAAATTTGAGATTGTTTCATCATAATAATTTGTAGACTAACATTGCCTGTCCATGTCGTCATCATCCAGTAGCAACGTTACAACTTCTTTTGGTTTCAGCACATCTGGTGCAAAATTCCCACCACTTATAACCATCCTTTGAATCTGCAACGTTCATTTTTATATATTGCCACTAACCACAAACCATCTATCATTACAGAACTTATTTTGAACTGCGATTGAAAACTACCACATCAGCATAATTTGATATTATTTTAAATGTATTAGGTTCAATTTCCAATCCTACTTTAATATTTTAATATTGACAACATGATAGCTTCAATAAAAAGTTCTAGATATAAAATGTCTGTCAACCGTGAACCTTACCTCACTCTTTTCAAGAGCTCTTTGTAGAATCCTCTCCTCGATGGTGCCTTCACAGATCAGCCTGTACACTGTGACCTGTTTTGTTTGACCCAACCGATGTGCCCTGTCCATGGCTTGTTGGTCCACCGTCGGGTTCCAATCACTGTCGTAAAATATCACCTGTTCGTGGATAATTGTTAGATATGTAGGTCACTTACCATTAAGCTTTTCAACTGAAAAATCAGCTCCCAATTATTGTTCATATATACTCTCTCAAATAGATAAAAATAAAAATACAGCCACCGTTAAGTAGTATCTCTCATTCAAAGCATTAGAATTTTTGTCAGTGTGATTACTTTTGTTCAGAGTTTAAAACAACTGAAAAGTATAAAAATATAAAAAAGAATGAAATTACAAAAAATGATTGATAGTAAGTAATCTAGTTATACTTTTAAGAATAACACATTAACAAGACTAACAGTATCGGCAGCTGTCAAATTGATACCCAATCCGCCAGCTCTTGTGCTCAACAAAAATGCAAAGATGTCCTCCCGAGATTGAAAGTCAGCCACCATGTCTCGTCTTTCTGATATCTTCGACGATCCATCCAATCGGATGTAGGTGTGACGTCTGTGCCAGAGAAATTCCTGGTTATAATAATAATAATATAATAATAACAACATAATAGACTGTTATACATCTGGCATGTAAATATATATAGCAATAATTTTACTGATAACAAACAAGAAAAAAATACTATCTTCAGGCAAAATTTGAAGAGCAAATATTGTCTGAAATGATCATCACCACACATTTAACAGGCACATATGTTGGTATAAAAAAAATGAATAAAAAATAATGCTGTCTAAGTAATTATGACCAACCTCGAGTAAGTCGATCATCCGAGTCATTTGTGAGTATATTAAAACTCTGTGGTTGTTCATCTTTAGTTCTGTCAGCAGTTTATCTAGAACCTGCAACTTGCCGGCATCTCTTATCAAAGTTTCTTTACCTACAAATAAAAGAATGTTGATGAAAAACATGAAAAATTGAAAAAAAAACACTTTTTTTTATATTAAGCTAGCATTAATAGTTTAAAAAAAACTATGATAAAACCAAAACCAAAAGATAAAAATACTTATTCAAAATAGGTATAGTATTTATTGAAACAGTGAAAAGTTATCAAAAAATTGAAACAAATCATTTAAGTAACTAATAACAAAGTAAGGACTTACTTGGTATGGATATTTTGGAGTATCCTTGAGGTTGAGGTGTCGATCCCATCAAACCGCCAGGAGCAGAGGTGTTAACAAAGATGTCATTTAGAAATTCAGAGCTAAGTTGTGGCAGGCCATTCCATAAGATGTTATATTGCTGTCGATTGTAGCAAGCATCCACATTCCTCATCTGGTGATACTGTGACGATCGATCAACAGCATACCAGGTTTGAGAGCCAGTGCTCAAAACCTTTTGGAAATTATACGAACATCTCATTTTAATCCTTTACTCACGTCCTATAAATAAGAGAATAACTATATGGACAAAAGATATCAGAATTAAAAAAAAAACTGAACCATTTGAAAAAAGTAAAAAAGTCTTTTATTTCTATGCTGATGAATAATTAATACTGGAATAGACAAAAACTGATAAAGCAGGTCTTAGTAAACTACAACTCCATCATACATTCCTTAAAAGTTGAAGACAGACAGCTAACAGGAGCTAAAGTACCAAAAGTGAAAAAAAGACAAAAGTTATAAGAAAAAAGTAAAAATTATAAAAAAGACCTTGTGGACATTGATGAAGAGAAATGATGGAATGTAGGTTGGTACCAAGAGACGAGTGTAGGACTTTCGACTCCTCAATATAATGTTATCGTTGTTGTTTGACGATTGACTTTCATTGTCATCCTTCAATACAAAAAACAATATCACAGCTTAAAAATGGAGTTTGATTCAACGTCATGTAATAATAATATAATAATGTAATGTAAATAATATCTCATGTCATGTAATGTCATGAAGAAACCTTAATTTCGTAAATCACATTAACATGCAATTAACAAATATAGCTAACATAACAACCAAACACCTTGATATTAGAATATAAGAGCCGAGTTTCATTAAAATAGTTATATTATGTCAAATAAGCTCTAAAAAAAGTTTCATTTAAAGTGAAAAATAAGGTTTTAAAAGGTCATACGGTTGATATGATGTCAACAACTTCCTCATCCATATCATCGTCTCTTGGTAGCTCAGATATGGAAAAAATTGGCCTACGAATATCACAGTCACTGCTGAGAGTATTATCGCCGACATCTCTCAGAGTAGCGTAACTAGAAGTTGCAAGGTTGTTCCTTCTGGCACTCATCTTATTCCTGGCTCTCAACTTGCGATGTTCGGGTGTTTCCCTGGTGAAGTGGATGACGTTATCACAGTGTGCGTAGATGGAATTGATGGGGGACGTGAAACAAAGATTGAGAAGATGTGGCGAGAACTGAAGTGAAGCTGAAGACGTCGCCATGTTCAATTCAATGAAGAACAATGAAGACGATGATGAAGCATTAGGAACTGTCCTGCAGAAATATGATGATTAATTTGAGAAATGAACATTTTTTAAAATGGTCAACAACGTCAATTAAAAAATGGTATGGTACAAATAGTATATGAAGCCAATATTACCCAATATCACAGATGAATCTTCGATAGTGCAAAACCGAATGTATTTTCAATAGAAGCAAATAGTGGTGCCACCTGATGGAGTATATGTTTGGAAGAACATTGTCAATGAAAATAACTAATATCTTACATCACTATCTCCAACCAACAAATTGATAGGCGATCTCAATACTACCAAGAAAACTGAAGGACAATCTAATGGTTCAGTCAAAAAATAACCTGGCAAAGAAGCCCATCCTATGTAAAGCTGTTAGATCTGCAGGTGACATGTTCATGAACCTCGTGAATGAAAAGCAGCTCCTTACATGTTTATCTGATGATTATTAAAAAATTTTAAATTTTTTTAATTCATAAAGTAGTTCTAGACACAAGCCGCCACAAATTAATGATTGATAAAATAAATAATTGTCATCTTTGTCAGTGATTGACAAAAAGTTTGATATCCATTTGTAATCTGCATCCACACAACATCCATCCACAAATAAATTTTTAAAATTGTCAGCACCTTTTGATTTGTTAAAAAGTGACCTATGAATGTGAAGGCAATCAAAAATAGTCATCTTCTTCTTCAGCCAGTCTTTGTTACTTGACAATGACTCAGCATAAGCTGCAAAAATGAATTAAATTAAATAAATAAATGAATGATGTCAATTATTAACAAATAAATAAATTTAAATGAATGACTACCAGTGTTTCAAACTCAAAGGCAAAAAAGTATACAGACCCTCCCTGTACATAAGTTTGGGCATTTGGTAGGCTGGAATGCAAATGAAGAGTGGAGATTTCACCTCTCGTCTTTCAAACAGTTCTGGGTGATTGCACACCTGATGATGTCCAATTTACAAATGAAATAGAAACTATTAAAGAAATGGAAAACAAACTAATATAAAATATATACAAAATGAATCGAGCAACATCATTACATAACATTAACCCAACACAAGTTCTAAACTTAATTAAGATACAAAGATCAAAATACTAAGAAGCAATAGTGGACTAATTTTTTACAACAGTGATTCCAGCACAACAAACTTTTCTCAGTTGCATAACAATGTTCATGAGATTACTGGCCAATGTTCCAGATGAAGGTAGCGAAGATGAGGAGGAGGACTGGAGAAGATCATCAATTGATATCTTGTTCTTTATTGCTCTGTATAGCAACTTCTGTCTGTTCGTCAACGGACATGCCAACTTTATCTCAATCTGGCCATTCACCGACAAATTAATTAATTAATATTATCAAAAGTCAACCAAATAAAAAATTTAACTAGTGCTATTTTATGTCCATCAATTAGAATAATAACTGGACATTATACTAAGTCAACCAAAAAAAATTAATAAATTAAAAAAAAATCTTAGATTATAATTTATAAACCTTGTCTGATAGTTCATTTTCTACATCCTTCTTCACTCTTCTCAACATAAATGGCTTCAAAATCATATGGAGTCGGCTTAGCTGAGCTAAAATTAAATGTTGTGTAAGAGAATTTATATAAAATTCAACATCAAAATAGCGAAGGGCATTTTACATTTAAAATTAAACACACACACAACACAAAACATATCCATAAATGTACATCACAGATTCAGCGAAATAGATCGGAGTTATTTTTTAGACCAGCATGGTCAGACCAGACCAGAAACTACATACATATTATTATTATTTTTCAGCATTTCTGGAATTATTCAAAAAAACATGAAAACATAGTTTAAAGGAATGATGGAATATCTATGAATGTCCATCGAAAAATTGGCAACACCATTGCAATATCAAAAATCGACAGAATGACAATTCAATGAAAAAATTAATTAAGCATGCGCAATATTGAAGAACAAACTCGATAGAAATTATTTGTGCCTTTTTTACCAAATAACTCTGACTTAATGGAAAAAATTATGCATATGAGCAACAAAAGCTACCATTGATGCAAATAATTTTAGAGGGATATCTCTTCGGCTTGTGTTGAAAAAAATTTTGTCATCAATTGTGGGAGATAAAAGTAGGTCATTCATTCATTCTTGGTCCTGAAAGTAAGAGGTGCAAAACAAACATAACAGTGTATGAACAGGAATTAACAATATTAACTGTATTCTCAAGTTACTGAACTTTCAAATTCTTCATGGCAAAAAATTAAGCAAAAATTTGATAATTAAACTTAGAGATCATAATTAAATGTAAAGGCGTTTTACAAGGGGATCGATCCAAGGTCATTGCTCACATTCAATTTATAACGTTAATGAGAACACTCCAAAACCCAATGAACTTGATTGAGGTGTATGGGAGGGGATAAGACAACAGATGTAGCTGATATACTATTAATCTATGTGTGTAATAACTATGTATGTAATAACTACATTCAGCTAACGAAACATTGGCAGTTCATAATTTTTTGTTGTTATATTATAAATACTTTTTTGAAAGCACTTCTGAGAAATTTTTTAATTTGCACTTCATAAATTTATCATTAATATTAATTACCAACCATACAACTGGATGAGCCAATTAAAGAGATAAAAACAATTTTATAATTTGTTAAAAACAAAAAATGACTTGTGTCAAGCGACGACTGCTTCTCCACGTGACTCTCAATGTCTTTTGAAAACCATTCATTGAACTCTTCATGAGAATCAAACAAAGTTGGCATGATGAAGTGCAGCAGAGACCACAACTGAATAGATGGATGGATGAAGGCATGCAATAAATTGACGTCTCAATAAAATGCTCAAAAAATTAACAGATAAACAAATTGAGCCAGTTATAAATAGTAATGAAACAATTAAAAATTCACAAATGACAGACACAGTTCAATATTAAAATCTGACAAGGACAAATATAGACGCCAGAATCTTGAGCATAAAAACCAGACCTCGGCCATGCTGTTTTGTATAGGAGTGCCTGTTAAGAGTAGTCTGTTGCGACATTTGAAGACCAACAAACTCTTCCATCGAGAACTGAAAAGGTTATTGATCACTTCATTTACACCAAATCATTTAAAAACAATTAATGACGTCTAGAAAAAATATATCTAATTAATGAAATTAGCTGATGAACAATGTTAATCCATCAATCAATCAGAAGTTTGTACCAATATCAATTGATCTTTTGATGATGAACAATTGAGCCACCAAATAACCAATGTACAAACCTGTTGGAGCTTTTGATAGCCTGAGCTTCATCTAGAATCATGTAGTGCCAGTTTATTTGTTGAAAGTACTTTGAGTCTTGCACAACCAACTGATAACTTGTTATGACCACATGAAATGCTGATTCCTTGTCTGTTGTTTGTTATTATGTAATTGTATTACTGCATTCTACTATCGTACATTGATAGGTGAACAGCAAGCAAACACTTGTTACCTTCTTACAAAAATATTTTATGCATAAACAGTAAATAAAAAATAATCAAAATTTGCTAGACTTAATAACTAAAAATTAACTTAAAAAACTTAATAAAAAATGTAGCAACTAACAATTGACGTAGTTAGGATGTTTTTTGTTACTTGATCCACTCCAAAATTTCCTCAGCACCTTTCTGTCCTGTGTACTCCCCCAATATGGAATCACCTTTGTTTTGTGAGCAAAATATATTCATGTCCATGTGTTCGGATTAAAATTTGTAATTTAACTTTGAAATAGTGTGAAATAACTTTATTTTTTAAGTGATTAATTATAAATTTTTGAGCAATGTATAAATCGGTTAGTTAGAAAATAAATTAAATTTCATTAAGCAATTTAAAAGAAACTAACTTTGAAATCTGGCACAAATCTAGTGACTTCTTGTTGCCAGTTATGCAGAGTTGAAGCAGGGGCTATTATAAGGAATGGACCCCAAATACCATGGCTCTTTTGAAAATATGGAAAAATTGGAATTTAAACATACAAACTAACTGACTCTATTATTGCGATATTACAACATTCTCTTGAGCAACAGAGCATCAACTAATTAATCAGAGAAACCACCAACTAACCTCAGACAAATGAGCTAGAAAGGCAATACTCTGTACAGTCTTGCCAAGTCCCATCTCATCAGCCAAAATACCATTGATGCCCTGATCATACAAGTTGGCTAACCAATTCATTCCCTGTGAATGGTTAGTTAGGAAGTTAGTTTAGAAGTCAGTGATGCATTGAATATGAGAAATTCATAAATACACCAATGCCATAAATCAATAGAATTAATTAGCTAACAAATAGCGGTACTGCACAGTTGCATGTACTCATACACTACATATACTGCTTATCTGTACAATTGGATTGACCTTGAGTTGGTAGCTCTTGAGACGACCTTTGAATATTTCAGGCTGATTCCATTCATGGTTCATTGATGAAGGATCTGAATAGGCATCATCTGTTTGTGCAACGTTTGTTAGCAATCAATTAGATAACTATTAATGGCTAAAGTTCATGTTAACAAATATGTTTATTCAATTACATTTATTTATATTAATCATATCTATGTGAACCCAATTCATTAAAGTTATTTATCTGCAACAAACAAGATCAAAATTAACTACGTAAATTGATTAAAACAACACAATGAAGTTTGCAGTCAACAACAAATTTTGAAAATTACCAGAGTTTTTGAATTCCATCTTGTTTCTCAACCCGTTATCAAATTCTTTTTTCTGAAAATAATGAACTACTAGTTCTAAAACTTAAGTAAGTTTATATAGACTCTATGCATATCACAATATCAGGTTACATCTTAATTTTGTAAAAAAAAGAAAAATAAACCTGAGTTAATTTAAAATAAAATAAACCAATGCTATAACACATCCAAGTTACAACATGACTTCATGACAATTTGTTGTTTTAATATATCAGTTCGCACCTTGCTTATTTGATCATCGATGGCTGTTTTGACATTTTTACAGGCCAAGCGCTTCATAATTTCGCTATCTGTAAATCATCAGTCGTATAGAAACAGTAGTGTCAAGCATTGCAAGATAACTGTCGTGATCAACTTTTTAACATTCATTTGAACGATAATTAACATGTTGTTAATTTAAATTAAAAATAATCCAACCTTAAATATAATAATCTAAACCAATATTACAAATAAATTTATTACTAAGACAAACCAATGTTTTTTAATTTTCACCAAACAAATTTTTAATTTATTTCTGAAGCAAGATGTAGATTAATGGATATTAGACAAGCACCACTTAAACCATGAAGCAATTTAAATAATGCAAAAATAAGGCAATCCTAAAAATATTGAGATAAAAATTTAAGAGAGTATTCTGACCAAAGTGAGAGGTTATATTCTTCAATCACCAATGTACAGTTAGATTAAATAATTTGGTGCCAGGATGAATGACATCCACCAATAATTAGTAATTATAGCAAAAGAACTAAATAGCAAATGAAGGAAGAGAAAACCATAATCATCGTCGGTGCTCCTCCTTACAAAGCCACCATTGATGGGAACAAGTTTATTTGTTGAATCATCTTCATCGAAATTCTTCAAGATATCTTCATAATGAACAACATCATGAGCAACACCAGCAACATCACAAGCGTTTACACCATTTAAGGTCTGGTTTGACAACTTCTTGGCCATAAAATGAGCATATAGTTCGGTTTGGGTGATGAGGAAATTTAATTTTCTCTGCTGCCTTTTCATCTTATATGAAAAAATTGAACAAATTATGCTAATTGAATTATATATTTAAAAACAATTTTAAGATGACAAATGTTTAAAAAATGGAATCAAATGGTTGATTTCTAACCTCAAGCATTTCCATATCCACTTTTTTCTGCTCCAAAGCTTCTTTTTCTGCCTTCTTCCTATGTTCCTTCTCAACTTTTTCAAACCTTTTCCAATACGCCAGCATTTCCTTTCCAAGTCGTTTGATTCTTGAGGCAGCATCTCTTGATAATTTTTGTGATGCAAGTGCCAACTTTCTGGATTCCTTCTGACACTCCTTCGACAACTGGCAAATTTTCAAAAACAAATATCACATAAATGATTACTGTTGTTCAGCATTTACAGAGTACCAAAAAATACGCAACAAGAAATTTTCTAATGCATCTTGAAATGAACAAAAAAATTTATTTAAACCTTTTTAAGCTGAGCAAGATTATCCTTCCTTATGATGGCTTTGTGCTTCTGAAACTGTTGCATGATTTTTATTTATAATATATTTTTTAAAAGCAGAATAACCAGATCTGTAATCTAACTAAAAATATTAACAAAAACAATAATAGTAATATCTATAATAAAAATAATAAAAAAAATGTATATATGTGGGAGTGTACATTTGTGTGTGTGTGTGTGTGTGTGTGTGTGTGTGTGTGTGTGTGTGTGTGTGTGTGTGTAATAAAAGTGCAAAACAATTTAACCTTGGGTATTTCTTTTTTGGCAATCAACATCCACATTTTCTTCCTTTTGGCCATCATGGCTTCATTTGAAAAAGTTTTTTTGAAGTTGGACTTGCTACCTGTGGAATTGTTTGCTGAAGAAGTGATTGGGTAGTTGTTGTTGCTATCAGAGTTCAAAGAATTATGTTTGCTGCTGGTGACATGCATATGTTGTTGACCCTGATGATCCACAGTGCTCGTCATTGATGACAGATACTCGTCATCGTCATCATCTGAGGAAGACTCCTTATGAAACAAATTGAAACTCACTAAAAACAGTATTTTATCAATTTCCAATTTTAAATATTCGTTTATTAATTTATATTTTATTCCAAGACCTGTTTTTATATCTAAATTAGCTCCATTCAACTATGCATGCACACTGCACATATTATGTTTACATCAAATAAATATGATTTGAGTATTTATTTATTTAACCTGTTTAACGAATTCAGACAGCTGTGGATGCTTCATCAACTTCAGCCTTCTATCCCCTGGCAATTTTAAAATGTAAAAAAATAATACAAAGTGAATGATTTGTCAATCAATTATGGAGTAAATAAAATACAAATTTGACAAAACAATCAAACCAAACCTAAGCCGTTAATGCTCCTTGCATCATCGTGGGATGTTTTAATTTTGCTAGAAGTTCCTTGTGTGTTGTGCATGTCAAGGGAGAAATGGACATCCTTCTGACCATGGCCAGCAGTGACAAAGTTTGAACTATAGTGCATGAACTTCTTGCGTGTCTGTTTGTAATTTAATTATTGATGGCATTTATTGAGATTGAATCTTAAATTTATTTCCAGCCCCATCCACTGCCCTCAGGTGCAAAGACAAAGTACAACTTTTTAACATAGAGCCAGTCCAACTCTTGCAATTAATTAATTTAATAATTAGACTAATTCCATTCTACAAATATTATTAATAAAGTATTTATTCAGTGGCATTGTTCTAAAAGACAAATTTTACTTATCTTTCAAATAATCCAACAATCTCAGTACATTTCAAAACTATCCTAGTTTAGCATAAGCTATAATAATGTTTGGGAGGTATGTTGTGAAATAATGAAGAAAATAGTGGATTAAAAATTGAACAAAAATGTGATGAATAAAATTTACTTGCAGACTATGCCTTCTGCACCTTTCTTGGAACTTCTTATGATAAGAATGCTCTTTCAAGAGTCGTTTGATGCGGGCACAACTACTTTCCAGTGAATGTTTGTTACTGACATCATCATCGTCGTCACTACATGTGTCACCTGATAAGACTTCCTTTCATAAGCAAACAAAAAATATTTTGTGAGCAGTAAAAAATTAATTTGTGAGCATTAAAATTTTTCAACAGAAATTAAAATGATGGCCTTATCATTTTAACCCATATAAAGAACTTATCGCTAGAAATATAAATCCCTAAGCTATTAATAGCCTTATATTACTAACAATCAAAAAATAATGATTAATGAATACAAATTAAACTGATTAGCAGAGAAAAATAAATAAAGATAAGACAAAGATATATCAATTGAAAATTTTAGTGTTAACTAAAGTAATATACCTTAATCCACATTTTAGATGAATGAAGGTGAACATTCAGTTTTATTTCCTTTCCTTTTAACGATCAAATTTGATGCTTTTAACTTATAATGTATTTAAAGAGTTTTATTTTAAATATGATCTAACATTATTAAATTATTAATTTTTATAAATTTCAAAAAATGTTACAAACTTCTGTTTGTATGAAAGTTACTGCAGTGATCAGACTGACAGCTCTGAGAAATGATCTTCTCTTCTTCATTCCTGTATAAAATAAAATTAATACACTTTACTCAATCATAAAAATTAGTACCAGTTTATATTAAGACTCTCTTATAAATAAAAAAAAAACAAAAATAAAATTAATTCAACAACAAGCAATACAAGTCAAAAAAAATAATGACTTCATATTTCTTGTAAAAATACATACTTTTTCAAATTATGAGCTTTCAGTTTCTCAATGAAAGAGATCAGTGGGCCTATCTGTAATGCTTTCTCAATTCTCTGAACATGTGCCGGTGTTGCCAATGTTGAATTTTGTTGACTATCATGATGTACACTTGTACTTGCCACATTCTTAGGTAGATGTAGCAGTAGGCTGCTGCTCTGCCAATTTTGCATGACAACAAAACTTCCTTTGAAAACCTGATAATCTGTTGACAGTTATTTATAAATTATAAATTAAATTAAGGTGTTGAATTGAAATATATTATAATATCATCAAATGAGAAAATGAGCCATGCATGCAATTTGTAAGGACTAAAAATATGAAACAATTATTTTCACATTAAAATTTAAAGTGAAAATGATAGTTAAAGTTTATTGTTTAAAAAAAATGTTTACCAATGGCCATCCCATGTGCATAATGTCATTAATTTAATTTAACTTTTAATAATAATTAATTAAATTAAATAATCTTGAAAAATAAGTTAACTATTTAATAATTAGTTTAGCATTTACTTTTTATGTTAACAACTCAACATTTGAAGATTTTAACATGTTTTTTATCACTTAATTATTATTTATTTATTTATTTTACATTGTAGTTATAATTTTTTACACAACAAAAACCATTTAAAAATAGAAATTAGAAAATGATCATTCAAGAAAGATGATGTGAAAAAATTTAAATTGAGCAATAAATAAAATAAATATAAAATTAAAATTTCTAACAAAAATCTAGGCAACTTAAGAACCCAACAACAAAAATTAAAATTCAGACGAAATTCGAAATTGCCATAGCAATAATAAATATATAAAATAATGATTGAGAAAAATGTGTTAAATTTTAAATGAAACGTTTGCATACAATCAACTTACCGGAACAGCGGTGTTTCTGAAAGGAAAACAAGCATTAGATTTCAGGCGAGAATACCAAATTAATCTCAACAAAATGGCTGTCAGGCTTTTTGCGAGCCGAGCATTGAATGCAGCTACGTACATAACTCTTTTCGTCATTGAGATGTTGCCAGCCGCCATCTTATAGCAAAAGCTATAAATACATTTTTAATAAAAAAAACACATTTTTTAAAAACTTGGATAAAACAATTTAAAGTTACAAAAAAACCAAATCTTTAAATAAAACTTTTAACTTAAAATTACTATAAATTGTTTTTTCAAAGCAAAAACGTTTCATTATTAATTAAATGCGCTTTAGATTTTTCTGAGTTGCGTCAACTAATCTATAGAGTCCATAGAGATGAAAGTTGTACATATATATATATATATATATATATATATATATATATATATATAATATTATTTATTATGTTTATAATATATATATATATACACATACATATATATATATATTTGATAAAAATCACGGCATGTTCAGCGTTTGTTAGCTTCCTGTTTAGTTATTCAATTTTTCTAACGGTTGATCGTAAATCTAAAATTACTAGGCAAATCTTGGGCAACAATGTTGAAACCTTACATTACAATAACAACCGTTATAATTTACGACTAGCGACTAGCCGAATCAATACTCACCGAAGATGGTATATGAATACAGACAAAAAGCTTTTTTGTTCTACCATGCCAAAAATAAATAAAAATTTTGGTTTTGGACTCAAGAAACATAAGAAACTTGAGAACGATTTACGCTCAACTTTTAGAAAAATTGAAAAACTAAACAGGAAGCTCGCTCAACTTTAAATAACTCGATATTGTTCATGTACATAAAATAATGAGAGATGACTTTAAATGTGACTTACGTGTGTTGAGTATTACTTAGTGTTTAAAATGTTATAAAGTTTAATAATCGAAATCGAACGAGAAACGACTCACCCATTGTTATTAATAATATTTTTTTAATTGTTTGATTGCAACTAGATATATATTTTAACAAAGTAAAATAATAAAAACTGAAAACTGAGAATAAAAAAAATATAAAATATATAAAATATAAAGAGTAACGCAAATATTAATGTGCAAAAGTGTATAAGTAATGTTCAAGAGCTTTAAGCGTGTTAAAGAAATAACTCTAACTTAACTAAGATATCTTATATATAATATAATATCTTAGATATATAAGTTATCTTATGTGCTTGTTTTTATATACTAGAAGACCTGGTTCCATAGAGCTTAACTAGTTATTATTATTATTATTATTATTATTATTATTATTATTATATTATTATTATTATTTCTATTATTACGGAAATTGATATTCAGCGCTTTTTAATTGTTGAAAACTCAAAAGCGCTACTAAATCATAGACAATTAAGACGGACGTTCATTGTGCAAATAAATAAGTTTTAAGCTGACTTCGAAATCGTAAATATTGTGGGTTAGGGTCAGGTAAGTAAGGAGGTAAACCATTCCAAACAACCGGACCAAGAACCGCAAAGCTGCGGGAACCCGTCGCTAACTTTTTAGTCGGATAAAAAATAAATTACGCTCGGTTGATCGGAAGGAATATTTTGAAAAATGAGATTTGTATGGTTCCAATCTATCAATGAGATAAGGAGGTGCTGTATTATTGACAAATTTAAATATCAAAACTGCTAACTTGAAGAAAACACGTTTCTCAACCCTCAACCAGTGCAACTTATTCAAAATAGGCGTAACATGATCGAACCACGAACCCCCCAAAACCAGCTTGGCCGCACGATTCTGTATTGACTGATCTTTGAAAAAGACCTTTTTTTGACACCATAAAAAAAAGACCATTGCAATAGTCCAGTCTGGAAAAAATGAAAGAGGAAATCAAACTTTGAAGAATAGACGTGTTTAGTGATTTTTTGATATTGCGTAATAAACGCAGTTGTTAAACTCCTTCTAACCAGTCAGTCCCTATTGTATTTCCCCTCATTCTTTTTATTACAAAGCATTATATGCTTTGATAAATTTTACGTTATATTATCGTATATTGAGCTGCTTTATGTCTGCAAATTTGCTGTCTCGTCGTGAACTACTTTTATAACTTAACTTACATTATTATTGTTTTCTACTTTAACATTTATCTATATACAAACTTTATTTACTTATATCTTCTAACCTAAGTTATCATCCACATAATAATATTTATTATCGGGTGTCTTTGTTCTATGAGTACTGAGTAGGTAACTTGCTAATCGTAAATTATAATGGATGTTATTGTAATGTAAGATTTCAACTTGTTGTCCAAGATTTGTCTAGTAATTTTAGTTTTGTGTTTCTCTTCCATGTGATTCTTTATAGTGCATGTTTGTACCCGCATCGTGAGTCTTCTCGATAACTTGGTCGTCGCCATACCAATATATTCAGAATTATGGTTCCCAAAGTGTCGGGAATAGGCGAGCGTTGGAGCTCGAGGTTGAAGGAGTGATAGGAAAGGGTCGTCCGCGATTGGGAGGGAGAGAGCAGGTGGAGAAGGACATAGTGAAAGCGAGGTTGCGTGATACTGAGGCGAGTGACAGATGTGAACGGCTTCGAGGGGTATTTCGGTTTCATCATAGGTATCCAAACGGCAACCCCCGTTTTTTGGTTGGAGTAGTATATTCGTAGTTTAGCACTATCGTATTCGTTTGTTGCTTGAACGTTTTTTTTTATGATTCTTTTCATGATTTTTCAACCTGTTCGAAAGCTGTTGACACATGGTTCTTATAATATATTATTTTTGTTGTTATTGTTAGTTGCATTGTTGTTGCTGCTGATTTTTTGTTCTTTGCGTTCTATTACTTTGGGTGTCATGGAATTTTTTTAATCTATTATCATTGGGCAATTTATAGTGACCCTATCAAGTCTTGTCCTCCTGCTCTCTACATCAATTAAAACAATAAAAATGAGGTCGCAGTATAGCACATTTCAATTTTATTGAAAATTTCAAAAAATCGAAACGTCACTAGGAAATATTTATTTCAACAATGAAATGTATCTGTTTATTACTAATAAAATATAATCAAGTGATGTAATTAACCCTTTAAAACATTTTAGAGTATGTTAAATAAACTATGGCCAAGTAAATTTAAATATTTTACCATAATATAAGATAACATAAGATGTTGAAATAAAAATTTTGAAAGGTAAAATTTCAGTCCTGAGATCAAAAATACTTAAATTCAATGGTTGTTTCATCAAAATTTTAACAGTAATACTAAAATGAAAATAAATACTAAAATAAATACATGTAAGTTTGAAACCCCGAGGAAACATAGCAAAAAACCTTGATTATAAAAGGTGATGATTATTTTTTTTAAAATGCTGCATATTAGTTTGTAAAAGGATTGATTCAGAGAGAGGTGAACAAATTTTGTTCATGCTTATCCCAAATCAACAAAATAGAGCAGATATCGAAAAATATAGCTAAGTCAAACTTTAAAAAAATTGAATCCAATAATATTATGACAAATTTAATTGAATTAAATTTTTTACGAGAAATTTTGCTTGTTATGATTGCTGTTAAAATTTGATGCAATCACATTACTTTTATTATCTAAAACCATTTATTCTATACATTTAATAATTTCTTTTAGAAAGGCGTGGTGTGCTTATAAACCTGTATGTAGTTCGTTCGATTTTTGGAGTTTCCGGTATTCGAACATTGTTTGGTGTGTTAAAAACTTTAAATGTTACATATTGAGCGGTAGGTGTAATTGTGAAGGCTGGCGTTTCTAACGGTTTCGCGTAAAATGTTGGTGTTGTTCGCAAATAAAATACACTTGTTTGTTCATTGTGGTTGTTATCAAATTTATTATCGTTATTGCCAGTATTTCTGTTGAACATTGGTGTAGTTTTAATAAAATTTCCTTCTGGTGTGTTAACGCGATAGTTGAAGAGAGTTAAATCGTACGGTACAGGAGAAGGTGAAGCACGGAATTTAGTTGTTGTCGTCGTAGTTGTCGTCGTCGTAGTTGTGGTTTTAGTGCCTTCAATTATAAGTTTGGGTTCATTTGTTGTTTTCGATCCTGTATTGAAACCTTAGAGAATGTTAAATAATTTTTTCAGTGTGTCTGTGTGTTTGTCTTCACTGACAAATAGTCCAATTAATTGTAACCCTCACTGACCGTACAGTTGTTGTATCCTGAGTATGTCGTTTGCTGTTAAGTTGAAGTTCGGATCGTAGGGACTGTAGATGGCGTACATAACATCGTTCTCTTTCGATGAGTGGTTGAGACCTAACACATGACCTATTTCGTGAGTGGCTACACGCAACAAATTGTGACCTGTCGGTATTTATTAATCCTTAATATTTAATGTGACGAATGCGAAATTTCGAGTGCGAAATATTTCGTAGCACTCGCGGTTTGTAAGTATCATTAATGTAACGGCAGAATTTTAAACAAATTGACAATTTAATAGTTCAAATTTTACTTTTTAAAACATTAATATTTCTACGCTATCTTATAATTGTGTTCCAGCTTTATTTCTTATTTTCTTTATTAAATATTTAACATTAAATTTTTGATCCCTTGGTTATGTAACTATTGACTGATGTGAACTGAACATTAGTAATTGAACTTAATTGTTTGTATTGTCAAATGTATAAGCTCATTTGATCAACCAATTGAAAATGTAATCTGTTTATTTAACTAACGTTCTTATAAAAACCTAAATAACAACATTTTGAGTCAAAAAAGATAAAAAATAATTAGATAACATAATAATCTTCACGCTAGCGTTGATCTCAAATAAAGTTCAATGGGTAACAAAATTAATTTATAGTGAATTAATAGTATTCAGGTTTCAACATGTAGACATAGATTTCAAAAGTAAATTAGTTGTACCTTCATAAGACTCATCAGTCCATTCTTCGTCTTCGTCAAAATGAATCCTGCCATCTTGTGGGTAAAAAGAGTGCGCTAATGTTTTACCCACATTTCCATTACTTCTCCCTGATTTCAAGAAAAAACGATCAATTAATTTGTGTACATTTTTTCATTTTGAAAAAGGCAAATGCAAAATAAAAACACAAAGTTGATAATATAATTATTTAGTCAAAAAAATTCTTTAATTATTTTGTAGAGATGAATGCAAGAACCACATTTTGCAAATTAGTTTTGGTTATGTCTGATTATTACTTGCTTACTGTACCTTCCATTCAACCATTCAAAATATGAAACAAATCAGCGTGAAAAACGAATTGAAAGTCAACCATCGAATGGGAAGCCATCTCCGTGATCACCAGAGGCAAAGAGGATTTTGATGTTGGTATCGTTTGGGCTTACAGTGTTTTCCACTTCCAGACGTGTTACATCGGTCCAAAACTAATTTGTGAAAGTTAATTGAGATGATGTCGTTTTGAGGATATTAATGATTAGTGAGACGAATATTTGATTGTGATGAAAATGAACATGAGCTTCTGATGATAACGATGTAAGGATGATTATGATTTTGGTAGCGGGTTTTTGGAAACAGGACCGGGTTAAGCCTTTAGCAAGCCCTTGACAATATATCAAATTTGGGCCCTAATATTTTTAAAATAAATTACTCCGCAAAAACAAATTTAGGCCTTATATAGCTGTACCATTTTTAACAACATAATTTACAAAAACACAATAAAATGATAATCGTAACTATTTTTAAATAATAATATTTCAAATATTGGGACATACGTATTTACGGTTTCAAGTAATAATTTGAATTTAGAAATTTTAATTTGAAAAGTCAAAAAGATTTCATTGGTATTTGAACGTTCAGGTTCAATGACTTTCTTTATTTCGGTGATTGCTAATGGGTTTATAGGGTAGGTTCATATTGTATTTACATTTCAATTTAATCTTTTATGCAACTAGTTTTACATTCTGCTTTCTTGAGTTTCCACATTTCAAAATCTGTCTATTAAATTAAATGGTCTATGAAAAACCTTAATTTTGCCTTATTAGGCTGTAAAATGCAGTTGCTCATCTGTCATTTTTTCATAAAGCCACAAGCCATTTAATAGAATTTTTAATTTAAAGTTAACAGTGATAGTAGAAATAGTTGTAGTTGGCTTCGCATCAAAAATAGTAAGTCATGAGAAAGAATGTAAAATTAACATCTGAAATTTTCTAAATTTTCTTTTTTAAAAATGAAACCTTGAAGGCTTTTTTAAGAACTTCCTTCGTCGTCCCTGTTGCAATTTTGCCAGAGTACGTCAGAAAATAGTATTTCAAATCGAATAATGGCCACGATGCTGTTAAGATTGAATGATTAGTCAATCAATCAATCAATCAATCAATCAGTCAGTCATTCAATCAATCAGTCAGTCAGTCAGTCAGTCAGTCAGTCAGTCAGTCAGTCAGTCAGTCAGTCAGTCAGTCAGTCAGTCAGTCAGTCAGTCAGTCAGTCAGTCAGTCAGTCAGTCAGTCAGTCAGTCAGTCAGTCAGTCAGTCAGTCAGTCAGTCAGTCAGTCAGTCAGTCAGTCAGTCAGTCAGTCAGTCAGTCAGTCAGTCAGTCAGTCAGTCAGTCAGTCAGTCAGTCAGTCAGTCAGTCAGTCAGTCAGTCAGTCAGTCAGTCAGTCAGTCAGTCAGTCAGTCAGTCAGTCAGTCAGTCAGTCAGTCAGTCAGTCAGTCAGTCAGCCAGCCAGCCAGCCAGTCAGCCAGCCAGCCAGCCAACCAACCAACCAACCAATCAATCAATCAATCAATCAATCAATCAATCAATCAATCAATCAATCAATCAATCAATCAATCAATCAATCAATCAATCAATCAGTCAATCAATCAATCAATCAATCAATCAGCCATTGTTATTTATATAGCGCTCTTTTAACTAACGCTGAACAATCACCATGTATGCCACTTAACTCATCATATATTCGAGCTTTATTCCCTAAAAGAGTTGCATAAACTCATATAATATAATTAATTTAGCAAAAATAAAGCAGTTATAATTTAACAAAAGTAAATTAATTAAATTAACTAACAGACATATTCATCGAGTCTCTTTCTTCTTGCTTCATTGTTGTTGGGAGCATCAGTGACTCCACATCTTGATTTCTGCATGAGGTCCCACGTTTTCGAATCCAGGTCTCCTGTGGCTGGCAGACCAACTTCTCGTTGGAAGCTTTTGATGCCCTTCACGTAGTTGTAATTGTTGATGCTGCCGTCCAGTTGGTACTTGTCCACGTAGCTGGTTTTTATGTGCTTGTACTTCATCAAGTAACGCTGTAAGATTTGTTGGGTGGGTGCAATTTAAATATTTTATTAACGCGCATTCAACAGCAGTTACAAATTATTTATTTACTAAAGGTGATTTTGAATTTAAATTTTTTCGTTGTAAGATGATGTTTCGAGTTATAGAAATAATTCAAACATACGATTATGTTCTGAGGCATAATTTCACAAGTAATGTTATGAAGTGAATTTGTTTATTTTTTGAATATATTAATTTTCAAAATTTTCATTAGAAGTGTATTATGCTTCAGTCATTTGTGATTTCACTTCAACGATGAAAATTATCAATGGAAATTGATGATTGCATTGAATTAGATTATTGAAAATTTAAATATTTTATTTACATCCAGGTTAGAATGTAATGAAATGATTCACGCAATGTCTTTCATGTGCTGCAGCGTAATATAATGGCAGCATTCTTGTAGCTGTTGAGAGGAGTGTAAATATTTAATCAATGACTAATATTATAATTACAGTATATTATGTTTGTCAATTAGGTTCGATCAGCTAAAAAACAAGTTGCAATCAAAATTAATTTTGTTTCAATCAACTTTTTCCTTAACTAATTACTAACCTCACCTATAATGCATAACTAACTGACATCATTGTAGAATCTAAATGCTGATAAACAATTTCATTATAAAGTTGATACGTTGAAAGAAGTTTAATAAAGCTTAGTACAAAATTCAGTTCGGCATACATTTGAGTCGCGGTGTAGAAGTGTGTAAAGAGTTTAACGAGGCTAGTTATTGCTAGCACGTTGCTTCAAGCCTGCTGCTTTCACGAATGAACCAAATAGAACAACGCCACACCAGTACAATTAATTTTTATGACCACCGCCGTAAACGAATGAAACATGATCATTAGACTACAGCAATAACATCACATGTTTGAGAAAATAGTTATTACCAGCAACTGTTAACAACGAAAAGGACTTCTAACTTTGGCTGCGTCTTTCATTTTGTTGGGTTTCTCGATGATAGGCGCTGCACTGATGATGCATACGATGGCAGCTGTGCTCATTGTATAAAAACACGTCCGTGCAACACAATTCTTTGAATTTGACTTCATCCTGATAGATGATCCAGCCAGATAAATCTTCTTGCGTTGCTGACTTTTTTTAAATTTCTAAAATATTTGTAAAATAATCATTAGAAATGATCAGAGCAGGCGAGGGTCATGAAATTAAAATATGTGATTGCTTTGTTTAATTTCAAAAGTTTGTCAAGTTAATAAATTTTATTTAAATTAGTAGATTATTTATATTACGTTAATTAAACTGTTTTAACTAAATTTGTAACATTTTAAAACATGCAAGCGTAATATTATATGTTGATACTTTGCATCTGGAAATTTATTTTGTGAAAAGGTAAAAAAAACTGAATAACAAATTAACCAAACAAAATTTTATAAAATTTTTCTACCAATATTTTGCAATGTGATCCACAATATTCGTTTTCAAGTTTCAATAACTAACTTATGACGCTTGCAAATACAACAATAACCTATTAATTAAATAATTGAATATAATAAAAATCACTTCT